CCTTGTGCGGCAGCGTGGCACCTTGCCTTGTGCGGCAGCATGGCACCTTGCCTTGGCGGCAGCGTGGCACCTTGCCTTGTGCGGCAGCTTGGCGGCGGCGGTGGGGTCCTTCCTGGCCTGCGCGTCGAAGCTCTTCTGCACCACCTCCCGCAGCGCGCGTGGGGTCTCCTCCACCTTACCCGCCAGGAACATGCACACCGTCGCTATCGCCTGGGGGGGGGTGGTGGGGGAGGGAAGCACAATGGCGGCGAAGGGATGTTGCTGCTGTGACGGAAACATGCATGGGGAGAAATGCATGGGGAGGAATGCATGGGGAGGAATGCATGGGGAGGAATGAAAGCAGCATGAAGTGGTGCATGTGACTCCACACTCTTACAAGACACGATGGCACCATGGCACGATGACGTCCGACGAAACACGGTGGGAGGAGGCACGCAGCGCACAGGGAAAGGAACCCGCCAACGAGGCAGAGCGCACATGGAAAGGAACCCGCCAACGAGGCGGAGCGCACATGGAAAGGAACCCGCCAACGAGGCGGAGCGCACATGGCAGAGAGGGAAACCATAGCAGAGGGGGGAGGAGAACGCACGTAGCGGTCGTTCTTGGCGTGCGACTGGCGCATGAAGAAGCGATGGCAGAAGACGATGGCTGTGGCTATCGTGATCTGCGGACTGGCGGGGGCAGGGGGGAGGGGACGTATGGCATGCACGCACGTGGCAGGCAGACCGGCAGACACACACACGCAGCACGCAGCACGCAGCACACAGCACATGACATGTGAAGCCATTCTGCAGGTTGGTTGGATGCTTGGGCGCAACTTGCATGAGAAGCGGATTGGAATGCAAAATGGGGGTCGCAGGAGCATTACTAGGAGAAAGAACGGGCGGGGGGGGGGACCGGGGGGGGCTGGTCTCAAGGACACAGAGGCACGTGCATGAATGAGGGCAGAGGCACGTGCATGAATGAGGGCAGAGGCACGTGCATGAATGAGGGCAGAGGCAGGGGCGCGAGTGAGGGCAGAGGGGGCGCGAGTGAGAGCGGTAGAGTGCAACGCCGTGCGTGCGGGAGTGGCTGTTACGGGGGATGGGAGGCGGGAGGGCGGGGGGGGGGCGTACACGCGGAGGCGCATGCCAAGGTCCTGCAGGAACGTGCAGTAGGAGCGCCGCAAGTACGTCTCGCGCCGCAGGTCGATGCCGTCGGCGCGCGACGGCGAGTGCTTCTCGATGTGCTCGCGGCTGAAGTACCACTCCCCGCCGCCGCCGGGCCCCACGCTACCGCCCGCAGCGGGGCCATCGGCGGGCGCGGCGTCCGTGCGCGCCATGGTCTTGGCGGCGCCCGGGCGGCCGAGCAGGCCGGCGACGAGGTACGACGAGGAGGGAGCGCCGCCATGGTGGCGGGATGCACGCGCGACTATGGAGCGAACGAGGCGCGCGATATAGCGAGCGGTGAGCTGGTGTGCCGACCTTGGGCTTTACGACATAACGGCGGTCTGACACTGGTCGAGCGGTGTCTACTATGCTAACTCCAGGTTTCTGGTGAGGCTGTGGCGTATCTATGGCCACTCCGAGAAAAGCAATTGTCATCAGAGTTCACTTCAGTGCGGTTGAGAGTGGGTTTCTGCCGCGGCGTTTTGCTTAGGGACAGGGAGCGTCACATTTTTGTGAACATGAATCGAACACCAGGCGTTTGCGAAAGTAACCAGGCTCTCGATGCTCGTGAAACCAACGCGACAACCCGGAAATTACCACCCCAGAAGACATGAGTCGCCCAAAATACCAAGCCCAAAATACCAAGAGTATTTCCAAATACTTTTCGCTCGTATCAGACTAGTCGCCTAGAACTAGTATCAGAGCTAGCGTTGAATTGCTGGCGAACTTTTCTGCGTGGAGTCTACTTAGTGCGCTAAGTAGAGCAGATGAGTTAAAGGAGAGTAGCCTAAGCCTACGTCATGGCGGGTGACGAGGTTAGTTCGGGATCCAGTGTGAGCATTGGAGACCCGCAGATGAGAGCTTCTCCTGGAGGCCCTGTCGAGGGGGCAGTTGGTGGTGAAACCGGCGATTGGCTCAGCGAGGCCCAACGTTTCAATGGAAGCAGCTACAGTACGTGGCGCTTGAAGTTCAGTCGAAGGGCGGAGGAGGTGGATCTCTGGCCCTACTACTCGCCGGACAAGGAGACAGGGGAGGAAGTACCTCCTACTGAGACGGAATCGGCGGAGAAAATTGCAGAATTCAGGAGGAAGAGTAAGCAAGCATTCTTTCAGTTGTGTCACTCAGTTTATGACAGTATTGCCATCAATTTGGACCCGTTTAAGTGTGAAGTGAATTCTGCGGAGAAGGCCTGGGCATGTTTGGAGAGCATGTATCTTAGGCCAAGCAACGCTAACAAGTCTGCTGTGCGTAAGAAGCTGTTGCTGCTCAGCATGGGAGAGGAAGAGAAGATCATCGACTACGTCAACAGAGCGTGCGGCCTCAACGATGCGCTAGCGGCGATGGGAGATGCTGAGAATGAGGAGCAGATGATCTAGCACATAGCAAGTGGATTATCTGAAACGTGGGCAGCAGAGAAGAGCGGCCTTGTTCTTCACCCTCCAGAGAGCAAGACACAGTTAATGGACAAGCTGCAGTCGATTGAGGCGATGAAGACAGCGAGCAAGCGGAAAACGGAAGCTGCATATTACGGGCAAGAGAAGCCGGGGATGGTGAATGCAGCAGCAGCTTGGAGGATTAGTGGTGCTTGTTACCACTGCGGTAAGAAAGGGCACAAGGCGATAGACTGCTACGACAATCCTAAGAGCAGGAACTATAAGGAGAAGGAAGCTACTAGCGGGGAGAAGGTTGGCAACAGCGGAAGGGGTTTGGAGGCACCTGCAATTTCTGTGGGAGATATGGACATAGGGCAACAGATTGCTACTCCAACCCGAACAGCAAGAGTTATAGGGGTCTAGCGTTTCAGCAACGGAATGCACCGAAAGTGAACGTGATGGAAGCAGAAAATGAGAAAGAAGATCCTATCCTTGGAGGCGCACATCGGGCGAACATTGCGCGTGCATCAAACCTGCGAGCTGACGGGTTCAAGCTCCATGGCTGGTACTTCGACAGTGGCTGTACACAGCACATGACGAACAGGTCAGACTGGCTGGAGAATGTGAGGGAGTCGAGTGAGAAGTTCATACTGCTGGGAGATATCACAAAGTTACCCGTCACTGGAGAAGGAGACGTCCTACTGCGTAGCAGGTTCGGGGAACTGAAGCTGAAAGGAGTACTGCTGGTGAAGGACCTATCCATGAATCTGATTAGTCAGTTACAGATGGATGCATTGGGATGTAAGGTGCTCAACAATCGGGGCAAGATTACAGTATTTGGTCCAACGTGGGAAGTAGTTGCAGACGGGAAGCTGAAGTGGGGTTTCTACGAGATGGATTTTATGCCGAAACTGTTAGTAACGGATGGGTATGAGGAGGACAACATAAGCAATGAAGTCGTGGTTGTAAGGGAGGAGACAAGAGCTGAGGTGGCTAAGAAGCAGGATGCTGGAGATAATGCAACAAGCACGATGATGGCCAACAGAGTAGAGGCAAAGTTTGGAGAAACAGGATGGGAGGAGAAACAGCAGCAGGCAGCAGAAAATACAAGAAAAGAGGAGATAGAGCAGTCGGAGGAACCTGAGGGAAAGAAGCAGACAGTAACGGCTATAAATTGGTTTGGTAAGATTTTGGAGGCCAGTAAGGAAGGATGGATAGTACGGGCTAGCGACGAGTTGTTTACTGAATGTGAGGGTGTCCTAGAATGGGCAAGAAAGATTGGGGACTCTATTGAGGGCGAGGAGTACAGTGAGGAGAAGAAGCAGACCAATCCTAATCTGAGGGTTCAGAGTTATCCATTCAAGCCTGATAAGCAGAAGCAGAAAGCCAAGCAGTTGCAGGGGAGTATGGAGCTGACTTAGAGAGTGAGGATGGAGAATGCAGGGGAGTAGTAGAAGAGACAATCGCATGGGAGGTGCATGGTTGGCAGAACCACAGGGGAGGTTGTTGGAGTGGTTCCGCCACCCACAACGGACTACTCGTGACTTGGGGTGACGAGGAGAGAAGTGCGGACTTGGGACGAGAAGGAACTAGGAAGCGGGGAATATTGCGTGAGCGTGAGGTGTACGGAAAGGGGAGGAACTGTAGAGAAGATTGAGAAAAGATTGGTGGAAAGTAAGGAGAATGGTTGTTGAGTGGAAGAAAGGAGTGGAAGTGGCGAGAAACAGATTGACGTGGGGCAAAAGTTGGGTTTCGGACGGGGCGTGTTCAACAAGCATTCGGATTTCGGACCAGCGGCGTGTTCAGCAAGAAAGTCGCGATTGCGTGTGCGACTCGGCATGACACAAAGCGCGCGAGTTACGCGCAGCACACACGGCAGTTACGGACTTTCTTGTTTGCCTATAAATCAGTATACTCTTGTGTGCTTTGTATTTTTTTGGAACTAGTGGAATGCTTGTGTGTATTGACAACTTGCAACCACTTTGAGATCAGATTATGAGGCAAGGCCTTTGAGGCTATTTGCACAAGTATTTCTAAATACTTTTCGCTGCGCCAGAGACGATATTCGCCTACACCTGGAGGCGCGGAGTCCGCAAGTGCGTTGGTAGCGCTGGCGGGAATTGTCAGGAGGAGGAGCTGGAGGTGTGTCTACCAATGCAGGGGCTGTAATGGCGAGAGCAAGGAATTGGCGGTCTATGAGGTCCGCTCCGACTTCTTGGTCTCGAGGAGAGCCGTGTGGTCAAGCTGCATTCTCGTCTAGCTCCACGGTGTTAATTTGCTAAGGGAGATGAGGGGGTGATGGATCTTTGATGATGCTGGTCTCTTGGAGCGGTGACAAATTATCAATGGTTTCAGTCTGTTGGAGATCAGCTTCAGCTTCGAATCCGATGGGAGTTGACTCGAGGGGAAGAGGACTTTGAGGCTTAGGTGGTGGAGGCCCATAGTTGCCTCTCTAGAGGAAGGTGTTTCTCTATGGGATTTCATCGTACTCGGCCCAAGTTCCAAGGGCTGGAGGAGGGCGGCTGACGTGAAGATATGCATCAGGTGTAATTCTTCCCTTTTGCATTTGTCGTCCTCATCATCTCCTTTGTTATACCATCCCTCGTGGTTTAGACGCCATCGTCCTGTAGCGGGGTTGCTAAACCAGGGTCATCTCGGGCGTGGCCAGCCCCAGCCTTCAGCTGTTGGTGCGTTAGTAGTGGTATCCCACTCGGTGTCCTCAGCTGATGCTTTTCCCCAGGTTCCTCCTGCTGGGGGTAGACCCCAGCTGCTTGGTGCCTTGAAGGGTGGTGCACCGATCTCGACCCTCGGTTCGGGGCGTGGTGGTTCTTGTTGGTCTGCTGCTGCTGTTTATTCTTCTGCGCCCTCTGTTGCTCCCTCTGTTGCTTCTACTGCCGCTGCTTCTACCTTTGCTTTGGCTACTGCCTTTGCTGCTCCTCGTGCTGCTGATGCTACTACTATAGTTTCTTCTGGTGACGTCGGTCCGTGTTAAGCAGTGGTGGTTCTGAGAGAGCTTGCCCATGCATCCATGTCGTATGCGAGTTTGGTTGCCAAATTTGCTGCTTCTCGGGGCATGGGCTCTCTACAGTTGGGGTTGAATGCCATGTGAGTGTGTAGTTCCCAAGGGGTTGGTTGTCCTGTTTCGTCAAAGCAGCCGGGGCCCTCGTAGGTCAGAATGCTTTGGAGGTGTTGGCATGAGTCTGTGCTAGTCATTCCTGGAGGAGGAACGATGGGGACGGCTGCTGCAAGTTCTGAGGTTGTCATGCCAACCTCTGGAGTGAGGAGGGACTCTGTCTTGTCTTCCTCGAGAGTTTTGAGTCCCGTTCAAGCGATGTTGTTGGAGAAGGCTGTCGGGGTGCGATAGGTGCGGCAGATGCCGTCTGGTCCAGGGTTGTGTAGATCCGTCTCGGATGGGTGCATATGGTGGGTGATCCATGGGCGGTCGTCTGGGTGTTTCCACTCTTTCTCCTCCTGGTAGGCGAAGTCGAGTGGGACGACGTCGATCAGCTCATGGCTGTCGCCGTTGCAGTTGGGGATGTCGAAGTCTAGGACATAGACTCCATCAACTGCTGTTACCCTGCCAATGTACTGTAGTGGGTTTGGCTCTTCGTTGGGCTGATGCAGCTTGCGGTAGTGTAGCAGAATGTCCTGTGATAGGGGGTCGGTGTTGATGTCAACACCGCAGGACATCACCTGCGCTGTGGAGAGTAGGTTGTAGCGCAGGTTCTGAACGATGAGCACGTCGTTCAAGGTGATGTGTGTCAAGGTATTGTGTGCCTGCATGACGACTATCCCTTGTTGTCTTGCCACAAGCCGTTCATTGGCGACGGTTACCTAGGCTGTAGTGGGAGTGGGGACGACATTGGAGATGTAGCATTCAGAGCCGACCATGTGCTATCCACAGCAACTGTCAGGTACCAGGTGTTGTAGTTGTCGCGGTTGTTGCGAGCGATCATCGCAATCCTTGGAGTCAGCAGGTATGGCTTGTTTGACGGGTGCATGCGATGGTCCCTTGGGAAGTCATGCCAGCTTTGCCCGTCGCCTCCAAAGGTTATATCAGTGATGTAAGGGGTCGGCTCCAGGAGGGGAATGGGAAGGTTCCATTCCAGCTCTTCATGATCGATCTTGTAGCTGCCGTGCTCGTTGTAGGGGTTGTTGTAGTCCTGAACCTCTATCGCCGGTTCGTGCCTCCTTGACTTTGGCGCGGATGTGGCGCGCGGCGACGTTGATTTGCTCGACGTGTGGGACCCCGAGTTCTCATCGCTATGAAGACTTGGCGATCGACAGGTTGACCATGAGTGCCTTGCTGAGTCGGACGGAGGTCCGAGGATGCAGGAGGGCGCGGGGCTGGTCGCTGGTCCGTGTGAGATGGGTGACTGGTCTGGCGCGGGTCCTGAGGGGAAGGGTCGATGGGTCTCCTTTGTTGGGCGTGACCCTATTGACTTCCACCTGAGTTAGGCGTGTAGGGTGGTCCTGCACTGCTTCCTGTTCGGTTTTGGCAGCGCTCTGTAGAGTGTCCAAAGGTTTTGCTGTCTTTGCAAAATAGCGGCGATTGCGCGTGTCGCAGCATGGCTCCTTCTGGCCCGAATAGAAGGCTAGCCTCTCTTTGCGCGAAGCTCTCTCCTTGTAGAGGTCCATGTCTTGTTGCTCAGCCAGCAGTGTTGCACAAAGGGTCGCTTCGGATATTTCGCCCTACTGGCAGAGCAGTGCCTTGCACGGTCACCATTCGGAGGTAAGTCCAGCGAGTATGATCATCACGAACATGTCTTTGGTGATGGTGTTCCCAAGCTTGACGATTTGGTCGCGGATGCTTCGGCAGCGATTATGTAAGTGTTGGTCTTTTCCCCTGAGGCCATCTTCACTTCTAGCAGGTGGCCGAGCAGTCGACTCCACGACACGGAGTCCTTCGGCTGGTAGAGATTCGTCAAGTACAGCCATGAGTCACGTGTCGGAGCGGCGCAGGTTTTGAACGATCGAATTCCAAGTTGCTCGGAAGCGGGCATGTTCCGCAGAAGTACGATGTACACCATGAGCGATTCGTTATAGTATCGCTGTTTTTCGTCTTCGGTATCGATCGTTGATCCGGGATAAGATCCGTCGAAGTAGCAGAAAATTTGAGCGCTTTGCAGTAGTAGGTCGAACTCGAAACTCCAAGTGTAGAAGTCGCGACCGTCGAAGATAGTGTTTGTTTTTATCTTAGAAACAACGAAGAACTTCGATTGTGCTGTCTGCAGGGCTTCGCCATTTAATCGTATGCTTGCAGGTGGTTGTCTATTGGAAGCGTCGAAGTTGAAGAAGCCAGGGGTGGAATCCTTGTCTGCAGGGTTTGGTTGCATTTCAGTGGTTTGGCGAGAGATTCTCGAGCCATCGATCTTCAGAGATTGGAGTCCTTCTTCAAGGGTTGACATTCGTTGGAGCATTTTTCGAGGAGTCCTGTGGGGACGGAAGTCATTGCCGCCGGATTCGGATTATTTGCACGTGTTTCGGGAGGAGGGCTTCCTTGCCTTCGTGATCCCGAGCCTGGGCCATTCTGTGGTGGGAGCGAGTCATTGGCGCCACGATACTTGAATTTGAAACTGATCAAAAGTGTCGTGCGTAGAATCCTGATAGGCTCTGTTTACCATGAAGCGATCCAATGTGGTTCGTCCGTAGGATGTTCATGATTGAACTGCAGTAGTGCGCTTTGCGAAAGCGATTGATTGGTCGATGAACCCTAACTGAGTGAATGTAACATAATAGTGTTGATTATAGCAAGGGGATGCAGGGTTTATATAGTGATACAAGAGAATGTGAAAGGTCTAACTAAGATGCACTTAACATGGGTACATTCCCTTTGGGGTTTCCAGATCCGACTCGGGTAACTGTACACATTACAGGGTCAGTTATATGTCCTTGCTATGGTGACAGACCCTTAGACTTCTGTCGGTTCGGCTGTCGGTAAACGGTAAACGACCGTTGCACTTCGTACCTCGCGTCATAGGCTTGGACTCGACAAGGGTTACGGCTCAAGTGTCACTTTCAGGAATGTACTATTTTTTTTATCGTAACATACTCTAGGGACGCAATTGTTTCGTCTGGCTCATCGTCAACAGTTCGCATGTTTTCCCATGTATTTTTTTCGTTGAACTTGGCGCGCTTAAGACAGACGAAATATTCGCGCTTTCATTGTTTTAGAAGGAAATTCTTCGCAAATCAAAGCCACGTTTTTACCAATGATTTTCAAAGAGTTTATTATGCTGTTCATAATGCATGTCTGTGTATATTTTTCTCTATCCTAGTTCTTTTGACAGCATTGGATGTTAGAGTGGTGAGTAGCCGGCTGCTCCTCTCCCGAGTCACTCTCTACTGCGATGACCGCAAGCAGATATCCTGTTGTCAGGATGGAACCAACCCTAGTCGGTTTGTGCAGTTTGATTAGTGACTCACCTGATCGGATCTGCCTCTGCACCTCCTAACAAACAACAAGCATTTCGAGTAGTAGAAGCGTCTAGCCCCGCATCGGACTAGTTCGCTCGGCGCGCAGCCAGCATCGGCAGCATGAGCGGGCCGGACGCGCTGTTTTCGCTGCGCAACAGCTTCCAGCTGGGCGCATACCAGGCGGCCATCAACGAGAGCGCCGTGGGCGGGCTGTCGGAGGCGGAGAGCGTCGAGCGCGACGCCATCGTGTACCGCTCCTACATCGCCCTCGGCAGCTACCAGGTGCGCCGCCAGTCGTGGCTCGCAATGCTCCATTCGCGCATCCTCGCGACCGCCATGCGCTGACGCCTGTGCTGCCCTGCCCTGCCCTCCCCTCCCCTCCCCGCGCAGCTGGTGATCGACGAGATCTCCGACTCCGCCGCGACGGCGCTGCAGGCAGTCAAGCTGCTCGCCACGTACCTCAAGGACCCCGCTGCCAACAAGGTGCGCCCGCCACGCTCACCACGCCTCGTCACATGCCTCCGCTCCGCTCGTGACGCCTGACGCCTGACGCGCGGCCCCTTGCGCTGCAGGACGGCGTGGTGGCGAGTCTGGAGGGGTACCTGTCGGACCCGGTGATCGGCAAGAACGCGACGCTGCTGCTGGTGGCGGGCACGGTGTACGCGTGCGAGCACAACTACGTGGACGCGCTCAAGGCCACGCACGCCATCGCCGGCAACCTCGAGCTGTACGTGCGACGAGAGAACGGGCGGTCGTCGCGTTCTGTGCGGAGGCGAGGAGCAAATGGCGCGTCTCAATGGTTGCCCGTGCCGTGCTGCTGCGTGTGCGCTCGCTCCTCTGTCCCTCTCCCCCTCTCCCCCTCTTCCCTCCCCCCCCCCCCCAGCATGGCTTTGAACGTGCAGGTGTTTCTGAAGATGGACCGCGTGGACTACGCGGAGAAGCAGCTCAAGGCCATGCAGGCCGCCGACGAGGACGCCACGCTCACGCAGCTCGCCAACGCCTGGGTCTGCCTCGCTATGGTGGGTCGCATGGGTCTGCCTCGCCATGGTGGGTCGCATGGGTCTGCCTCGCCATGGTGGGTCGCATGGGTCTGCCTCGCCATGGTGGGTTGCATGGGTCTGCCTCGCCATGGTGGGTCGCATGGGATCGAAGGCACTGGTGCATCCCATGGCATCGAAGGCACTGGTGCACTATGTTGGAAAATACGCGTACTGCGTTTTATACGCTAGCGTATATACGCTTGCGTATATACGCTATACGCTTGGATTTGGGGTCCAATACGGCAGGAATACGCATGCCCGGGCAGGAAAAAAGGTTTGCCCGGGCAGGGTAACAAAACCAGGGGGCAGCAAGGAAGCCATGATGGTAGCGGCTAGGCTAGGGTTTCTGAAAACGTGACTCTCAAATGAGAGGCATTTTCTGAGGGGTCGAATTTTGACCTGCCAATTCCCTCCCTTTCACCGCACTCAACCCCCCCGTCTACAAAGTCAAATTGGCTTCCAGCCAACCAACTCCCTCCCTTTCACCGCACTGAACTCCCACCCATCTACAAACTCCAACCTTTCCTCACAAATGCTCGACTCTCCCCCCCATCATCTCCCCCATCACTTTGGTAGAAGACTAACAAGCACCGTAACTCGCGCAATCGCCGCCACCTAGCTAAGCACACCACCGTTTCGCTTCAGAGCTGAGATTTGGACGGAAATGGGGAACGGCAAACACGGGATGGCTTTCAATCACGTACAGAGCAGGCTGGGCTATGGGCAAAAAAGAATGGGCGAAAAAACCGCGACGTCGCGAAGTCGCGGAAAAAAAAAATATAAGTTTTTTTTTTCGCCGGGCAGCCCGGGTATCGCGTATCGCGTATTCCAAGCGTATCAGCGTATTGCGTATATTCGCAAGCGTATATACGCAATACGCAAAGCCTTCTGTGCGTATATTCCAACATAGCTGGTGCATCCCATGGCATCGAAGGCACTGGTGCATCCCATGGCATCGAAGGCACTGGTGCATCCCATGGCATCGAAGGCACTGGTGCATCCCATGGCATCGAAGGCACTGGTGCATCCCATGGCATCGAAGGCTCTGGTGCATCCCATGGCATCGAAGGCACTGGTGCATCCCATGGCATCGAAGGCACTGGTGCATCCCATGGCATCGAAGGCACTGGTGCATCCCATGGCATCGAAGGCTCTGGTGCATCCCATGGCATCAAAGGCACTGGTGCATCCCATGGCATCGAAGGCACTGGTGCATCCCATGGCATCGAAGGCTCTGGTGCATCCCATGGCATCGAAGGCACTGGTGCATCCCATGGCATCGAAGGCACTGGTGCATCCCATGGCATCGAAGGCTCTGGTGCATCCCATGGCATCAAAGGCTCTGCTGAATCTCATGGCCGTGGAGTGCGCTGCTGGTGGGAACGGCGTTGTGGGCGTGCAGGGCGGGGCCAAGGTGGTGGAGGCGACGTACATCTTCCAGGAGCTGGCGGACAAGTTCACCCCCACCGTGGCGCTGCTCAACGGCAGCGCGCTCTCCCAGATGCACCAAGGCAACTTCGACGACGCCGAGGCGCTGCTGCTAGACGCCCTCAACAAGGTGGGATGTGGACTCATGGATTCAGGTTTGTCGCATTCGATTTGCTTATTGTGAGAAGGATGGGCGCGCATGGTGACGGGGCATGGTGTTGTGGACGCGTTGCGTGGTGCGTGCAGGACGCCAAGGATGCCAACACTCTCGCCAACCTCGTCGTCTGCTCGCTGCACAGAGGCAAGCCCGCCACGCGCTACCTCAAGTGAGTGCGGCCTGCTGCTGCTGCTGCTGCTGCTGCTGCTGCTACTGCTGCTGCTGCTGCTGCCGCTGCTGCTGCTGCTGTGTACGTGGCATGCATGGTGTGAGTGTGACTAACGTGCGTTGTGTGTGCGTGTGCAGCCAGTTGAGGGCGGTGGCGCCGGATCACATTCTAGCGCAACGCCAAATAACGTCGGAAGCTGCCTTCGACCAGGCCGTTGCAGCTTATGCTTGAGCCGCGTCAGGAAGGAAACCTCAGATTCTCAGATTCTCTTATACATAGTATTATATCACGTGAAGGATAGCATCTGGAATATGAATACATATGATTGATGGGAATACCATATACGTACAATTTCTCCGGCATTGTGTCTCGCAACGAGTCCGCCTTTATTTGCCTTGTCGCCTCGCCAGCACGTGGAGTTGGCTCATGGCGGCCATAGGCACCTCGCCTCTTCCCCCGCCACCCTGCGTCCGCTGCACGCGTCAGAGCCGTGTGAGGCGGGGAGCTGTGATGCGAGGCACGTCCTCGAGTGCACTCCGCCGCTGCTCACATTGCGATGCCTCGCGCGCTAATGTCGCGACCCTATTCTCATAGCTCATAGTGCGGCTGATCCTCGTGGCTACCAGTGGCGATTGAAACACCCACCCGCGTTGAGTGGCTCATGCCTCGCTCCCATTGCCTCGCGTGCATGGCTGACCAGCAGACCTGAGCGGGCAGCCATCGCGCATCACCGTCCGTGGAGGCCGACTGTAGTCAACCCTGCGCCCTCCAGAGAACGCTCCCCCCTGCAAGGACGCGCATACCAGTGGATTCTTTACCCCCTCGCTTGCGCGTGTGCCACTTGAATGTCCAGCATTGCCGCCATGCTGCTCGTGCCTCGCCGCGCACCGCTCGCTCTGCCCCCCACTCGCGCATCTCCGCCCACTCGCGCATCTCCGTTCACTCGCGCATCTCCGCTCACTCGCGCATCTCCGCCCTCAAACGTGCGCGTCGCTGCGTTGGGCCTCGCGTTTCCGCGCCAAAAGAACCACCTGTCGTTGCAGCTGAGCTGCCGGTTGACCGGGAACTGAGCCGTTAGTCGTCAACGACCGGCAGTCGAGATGGCGTCGGCCGGCAGGAAGAAGCTGGCGTCGGCGGGGTCGGGCAGGATGGAGCAGGCGAACCTCGTCGCCGTGCGCTTCGAGTTCCGCGTCCGCCTCCTCGAGGTCAGCCCCGTTCCCAGCCCGCTCCCCCATCCCGCTCCCCCCATCCCGCTCCCCCCATCCCGCTCCCCCCATCCCGCTCCCCCCATCCCGCTCCCCCCATCCCGCTCCCCCCATCCCGCTCCCCCCATCCCGCTCCCCCCATCCCGCTTCCCCCATCCTGCTTCCCATAGCACGTCTGCCGCCACTGCCATGGGTCGCCGCAACCTCCCTCTCCACCGTTCCCTTCCCACCTTCTTCCTTCACCTCGCCGCTGCCTCTCCCCCCTCTTCCGCCCCCCTTCCCCCAGCTGCGCCCGTGGCTGCGCCAGTCCCCGCCGCTCATCATCCGCTGGCAGCGCGGCGACAGCAGGGCCGGCCTCTCCGCGCCCATCGCGCCGCCCCCCGACGCCACCCTCAGCCACGTGGCGCTCAACCAGACGTTCCGGGTACGCTGTGAGTGCACGCTGCGCGCTTTGTGGGGGGCGTGGGGGGTGCGAGGGGGGTGATGGTGGGATGGCGGTGGGGCGGTTGGGTAGGTTAGGTTGCGGTGGGTGAATGAGCGGCTGGTGCCGGGGCTCTCATGCCGCTTGTGTGGCGTCAGAATGCCGCCCCTCCTGCCCCTCCTCGCACTCACACCTTGGCCCCCACCGCTTGCCCCTCGCGTCATCCTCCATCCACCTACACAATCCCGGCGCACCCCCTCTCCTACCTTCCCATCATTCCTCCCGCCCTCATCCTGCGCCCCCCACCCTCAGATCCCTGTGACGCTGTACCGCGAGCGGGGCGCGCCCTCCGCGCCCTACCTGCGCAAGGCCGCCACCTTCACCCTGCACCACGCGCTGCCCGCCGCTCATTCCCAACAAACACATGCACCAACCGAACCTGCCTTTCAGGCTCGGCCCGAGCCTCTGGGGCGAGCGCAGCTAGACCTGGCTGAGCTGGCGGACTGCGACGGGGCGGTGGAGCGCCGCCTCAAGGTGGCGCCGGGGCCCGCCATGCTTGCTGACGTGGCGGCTGCTGACAGGCCGACGGGGGTGGTGCTGCGCGTGAGCGTGGAGTGCGTGGGCAAGACGCTCAGCCGCGAGGCGGCTGCAGAGGAGGCCCAGCGGTACGCAGGGGCGCCAGGAGAGGGGGGGGGGGTGGGAGTTGCTCTTGGGTGGACTTGAGAGCGGAGTGGTGGCATTGGGAGCGAGAGGCAGCGCTGGAGAGAGGTTGTGGATGCGATGGGACGAGGAAGATTGAGATGAGTGAGAGAGAGAGGTCAGGTGCGGAGAGAAGGCAGGCAGAGAGAGAGGGATGGAGCGAGATCAGTAGAGCGTGTGTGTGATGAGAAGGGCGGGTTGGGGTGGGGGGGGGGACGTGGTAGCGAGAAGCATAGGCGGGCAACGGGCATCGGAGATACGGATTTGCTTGCATGCGCGGTATGGGTTAAGTGCTCACCAAGGTGCTGACTTGGGTGCTGCCTAGGGTGCACTTCCGTGTCTTCATCCGATCTAGGGCTGGCCTCATGGCTAGGGGTGGGCCCGCTAGGGGTGCAAAACCTGGTGCTATGTTCACACTTGCATGATTCCCCATGGCGCGCCCTTTCACCCGTCCAAGTGCCGCTCTCGCCTTCCGTGCTTCCCGTGTCTCCCATCCTCCCCTTCCCTCCCGCCCGCCAGCCTCGCAGCCCCCCACGGCCACCGCCGCAACGCCTCCTCGCCCGTGCTGCCCTCGCACGCCCTGCAAACCTCCCCCTCCCTCTCGCACCACCGCACCTCCCCCCCGCCCTCCCTGTGCGCGTCGCCCGACCTGCCAGCACCTGGCGGCAGCGCGAGCGCAGGGTCGTCCCTGGGCGACTGCGACTTCACGGCCTTGCAGGGGCAGCTGCAGGGGGACAGGCAGGGGCAGGGGCAGGCGCAGGCGCAGGAGGCCCAAGTGCGGGGGCAAGGCGCGGCAGAGAGAGGCGGAGGGGATGCACGCCGAGCAGAGGCAGAAGCAGCTCGCGCGGCAGCAGAGGGCGCAGGTGTGCAGAGCGGTGGTGAGATGAGCAGGCGTGCGCAGCAGAGGCACGGCGGCAGGGATGGCAGGACTGGTGCAGGCGATGGGCAGAGGGGGGTGGCAGGGGGGGGGGGAGATGCTGGAGAAAGGGACGAGGGGCGGATAGCTGATGGGGGAGGCAGTGACGTGGCCAGGGATGGCAAGGGCCCTCCTGGACGAAAGCCTGCCAGGTCGAAGTCCCCTGCCACGCTTGCAACATCTTCCACGTCAGCATCTTCCTCATCCACCTCATCACTGCCTCCCTTCCATTCTGCATCGACCTCTGCTTCCCCTGCACCCTCTCGCTCCTCCTCAGTCTCGTCAGCAACTTCTGCCTCCACGTCAACATCTGCTTCCACATCAGCTTCCACGTCCACATCAGCATCTGCCTCGTCAGCATCTGCAGCAGCATGCATGGCGTCACCATCACCATCTCCGTCGCCTGTAGAGTCGCCAGCAGCAGCAGCAGCAGCCGCCGCCCCCTCATCAGCATCCACTCCTCCTGCCACCTCAATGTCGGCCACTCGTGCATTTCGCCTGGCTGCTGCTCGCCTTGGGCCCGCAACAAAGGTACACACCTCTCGCCTTGGGCTCTCAACAAAGGTGCGCACCGCTCGCCTCCTCCTCCTCTTTCCTTGTCCTCTTATTTGCTGCTCCTTTCGTTCCTCCCCTCCCCACCTATTCTCTCCTATTGTCCATCGCCCTCCCCCCTCCTCTCACGTCGTCCCCTCTTATTCACACGAACCTAGCGACCTTCCTCCACCTCCTTCCCACCTTCGTCCACCCCATCTGGCATTCGCAGCCCTGCCCTCTCACTCCTCGCTTGCCTTCATCCCCTACTCCCTCCCCCTCTCCTCCCTCTCCCCCACCCCTCCAGCCAGCCCCCTCTCTCGAGCCGCGCAGGAGGCCCTCTCGCCGCTCGCAGTCGTACGGCGGCGCTGAGCTCGCCGCCTTCCACGCCCTGGACGCGCGCCACGCCCTCGCAGCAGCCCCACCGCAGCAGCAGCCGCAGCCAGAGCCGCAGCCACAAGGCCCCATCCCGGGTTCAAGTACCCGTGCCTCCCAGTCCCCTCTCCCTGATGCCCCACTCCCCATGGCCCCTCCTCCCGCCCCATCTCACGCTCCCTCTGGCAGCCCCTCTGCCAGTGAACGGGTGGAGGTGCCAGAGGGGGCAAGGGAGGGAGGGGCGGGTGGGGAGGGAGGCGAGGGAGGCGCAGGTGGGGCCAGGCTAAGAGTGAGCGAGCTGTGGGGGGAGGTGGAGGCTGGGGGGGAGGTGGGTGAGGCAGGAGAGGGGGGATTGGTTGGCGGGGGAGGAGGGGGAGGGAAGGCGGGCAGCAGTGGAGCTGCTGACTCTAGCATGGCTGCTGCTGCTCCTGATGCTGTTGATGCCGCGGCTCTCGCTGCCGGTGCTCCCATGGTGCTTGAAGCACACACAGCCAGCAACAAGCCGCTTGGTGCTCCCTCGTTTGCAGCACTGGTTAGTCCCCGTGTGCCTCCTGCCTCACGCCACACTGCCACTCCTCTCCCAGCCCCAATTCGTGCCGTGCTCGCTCTCAGTATGCCCTGCCCTCTCCTCTCACTTCTTTCTTGCCCGCTCCTCACTTCTCTGCGCTTATTCTTCCCCCGTCACTCTCTTCCGCCCACCCTCCTTTCGCAGAAGGCCCGTCGCAAGGCGACGCGTCGCTCGCACTCATACGGCGGCCAGGAGTTCACCGCCATGCATGCTCGCCTGGCGCCACCCTCCGCCGCTGCCACTGCTGCAGGCGACGCTGGCAGTGGCAGCGGGGACAGCAGCCACAGCGGCAGCAGCACCACCAGCAGCGCCGGTTGCAGCAGGAGCAGTAGTGGGTTGAGCAAGAGGGGCGGCGGTGTATCGGCAGTGGAGGTGCCTGGCCGCCCCGCCGTCTCCCGGTTCACACGCGATGCCAAGCCACCTCTCGCCGTGCCCCCCTCCTCCCTCCCTCCCACTGCCGCCACCACCCCCCTTGCCACCACCCCCATTGCCACCAGCCCCTTTGCCCCTCCCCCACTTGCTTCACCTCCCGCCACCGGTGCTCTCTCTGCCTCCTCTCCCGCCCCTGCTCCCCCTGCTGTCGCCCCTGCACTTCCCCTCCTGCCAGCGCCAAGCCCTGCAGCTGACGCTCACGGGCCGCCTTCCCAGACCCCACCTGCTGCTGCTGCTGGTGGTGCTGGTGATGATGGTGGCGCAGTGGGGGGCAGAGAGGGCGGTGGGGACATGGGAGAGGCGAGGAGGCGGGCAGGGAGTTGGAGGGAGCGGAGTGGAAGTGGGAGGGAGAGGGCGGGTGGCGGCAAGGGGAGGGCACGAGGCATGCGGCAGATAGAGGCGGAGCTGCAGCACCGGCGCCTGGCGCCCGCACCACACGGCGCACAGGCAGGCAGCGGGCCGGATGGGGCAGCGAGTGATGATGATGCGGCGGAGCAGCAGGTGGGGCAGGTGGCGCTGCCAGCGAGGGCGGTGCGGGCCACGTCGCTGGCAGAGCTGTACCGCGTGGCAGGGCGAGGCGGCGACCTGGACCACAACAGCAGCGTGGCGCCGGCCCATGCCCTCGCACACCCACCTGCTCTCAACCCCGTGTCGGCTCAGCTATGCACGCCCATGCCCGTGCAACCAGGCACACCCACGCAACCACATGCTCCCACGCCCGTGCCTGTGTGTGCTGCTCCTGCTGCCGGCAGTGTAGCAGCATGGGGCGTTGCGGCCATACCCAGGCCAGGAGACAGCGCGGCCGTCACAGTGCCACGCTCCACCCCAGGCACCTCCCCACCCTCCAGCCTCTCCCCCTCCACCCTTCCTCCCACTGCAACCTTGCCTCCCCGTAGTGCCACTGCCTCTTTCCCCACCGCCCCTGCCCCTGCCCCTCCACCTCCTGCCCCTGCCCCTGCTTCTGCTTCTGCGGCCACCTCCCCTCCTGCCTCGCGCGTGCCCTCGCACCGGGACCTGCTGGTGAGTACTGAGTGGCGCGGAGGACGCGCAAGGAGGGCCATGGCAGTGTGGGTGGGGAGAAGAGGGGCGGGGTAGGGGGGGCACAGATTGGTGGTGGCATCTGATGATGGCGATTGAGATAAGCCGTGACTCTTTGGCATGTTGTACGGATGTGCTCCCCCCATGCCATGCGTGCTTGCTCTCTGCATGCCCCTCTCTCCCCTCTCATCACCCCCCTTGCGCCCTGCGTCCCACCCTTCTCCTCTCTCTCACCAAGTTCTCACCCTGCCTCTCCTCCTCTCCCCCCCATCCACCACACACCCCACAGAGGGCGCGCAAGAGTGCTCGCGGCCGCCGCGCGCACTCCCTGGCGGGGGGCGAAATGGTGCTCCCTCGAGCTCGCGTGCTCGCCCTGGCGGGGGGCGAGGTCGCCCTGGCGGGGGGCGAGGTCGCCCTGGCGGGGGGCGAGGTCGCCCTGGCGGGGGGCGAGGTCGCCCTGGCGGGGGGCGAGGTCGCCCTGGCGGGGGGCGAGGTCGCCCTGGCGGGGGGCGAGGTCGCCCTGGCGGGGGGCGAGGTCGCCCTGGCGGGGGGCGAGGTCGCCCTGGCGGGGGCGAGGTCGCCTGGCGGGGGGCGAGGTCGCCCTGGCGGGGGGCGAGGTCGCCCTGGCGGGGGGCGAGGTCGCCCTGGCGGGGGGCGAGGTCGCCCTGGCGGGGGGCGAGGTCGCCCTGGCGGGGGGCGAGGTCGCCCTGGCGGGGGGCGAGGTCGCCCTGGCGGGGGGCGAGGTCGCCCTGGCGGGGGGCGAGGTCGCCCTGGCGGGGGGCGAGGTCGCCCTGGCGGGGGGCGAGAGAACTTTGGAGCTCGCCGCCCTCAGGCTCGTCCCCACGCACACAGAGGGGTCGCCTGAGTCCTCCACCGCTCTGTACCGCTCTCCCCTCTCCTCCTCCTCCCCACCCCTCAACCCCGTGGCTGCTGCCGCCCTGGCCACTCTGCTCCACCCTTCCGCCTCCCCTGCTGCTGCTCGTGCCAGTGCGGCACAAGAGAGGGGAGCGGAGGAGCAGAGAAGGGAGAGTTCGAGGGAGGCACAAGACGCGGCAGCAGCAGCACCTTGGTCATTGGCCGCCATGGCAGCACAGCCACCCATTGCGGACATGCCATGGCCCCTCGACGGCATGCACACGCGCTCTGCCACCACTGGCAGCATGGCCACCACACCCGCCAGTGCTGCTGGTGCCGTTCCCAGGTGTGGGTCCGATGGTGCGCCCACGCTGCCCGCCCAAGAGCACGTGCTGCCCGGCCAGGCGCAGTGCAGCCCGGCACCAGTGGACCTGTGTGCGGCGTACGAGCAGCAGCGGGCACAGGGGGGGGGTGGGGCCATGGGAGGGCGGGCAGAGCAGGTGTCAGCAGGGCTGCGTGCATCAGGGGGAGCACCTACAGGCGCCGTGCCTCCTCTGGCCACGGGCCCTCACATGATTCACCGCACTGCACTTCCTCACCACCCACACGCCCCCTCCTCCTTCCCTCGGCCTCTTCTGCACGTAGCGCCCTCTGCCCTCTCCTCCGCCTCCCCTGCCTTGTCAGCTGGCTCTCCTGTCACGTCTGCAGGGTCCCCTGCCATGTCAGCAGGATCCCCTGCCTCTCTGTCCAATGAGCATGCGCCACGTGGCGCCCAGCAGGCAGCAGCAGTGGCGGAGCTGAGGAGCAAGCTGAAGGTGCTGCTGGCGCCGGCTGCAGGGGGGCAGGCGGCCATGGCCGTGCGCATGGAGGGGTGCATTGATGTGGCCATGCAGGGCGATGCAGGGAGTGAGCGGGGAGAGGGGCTGGCAGCAGGTGCAGCAGGAGGAGGGGCTGCAAGGGCTGCTGCCTCCGCCTCGTTCCCTGGCTCCGCCGCCGCCTCGCCCTCCTCTGCCTCAGCTTCATTCCCAGCCACACTCCACCACCCCGCCTCCCCCCATGCCCTCCACCGTTCGCTCTCTGACCCGCGCACCCCTCGCCCACCAACCGCTCATTCACTGCCCTTCCCCAACCTCCCTCCCTCCTCCTCCGGCACCTTCTCTGCACCGCGCTCGCCCTCTCAGCCGCCTTCTGCGCGCGCGCTGGGCTTTGCGTGTGCGCGGCGCCCCTTCATGCTGCCGCCAGACTGGCAGGCCACGGCTGCTGCTGGCGGCGGTGAGAGGGGAGGAGGTGCACTCGGGGGGAGGGGCGTGCGGGCGTTCACGTCAGCGGGGCACCGGGGCCTGCTGCCGCCCATGGGCGGGCAGGCGGGGCGCACGGGTGCACTGCCGGCAGGCGGGGCGGGCTCCCAGTCGGCCGTGAGCGCGCGCGAGGTGCTGGCGGCGCTGCGGCGCGTGCCGGGGCCGTACAGCTCGGGGCGGTACGACGAGGTGGAGGGCGTGGACGACGCGCTGCTGGGGGTGGGGGCTACGCCCAGGCCGCAGGGGGCAGGGGCGGGTGGGGGAGGGAGGAGGAGGCGCTTCAGTGTGCTGGCCGTGGCGCGAGAGGTGGTGGAGAAGGAGGGGGTGGGGGGAGGGGAGGTGGGCAGTGATTGTGAGGGGGGGGATGAAGGGGAGAGAGGGAGGGATGGTGGGGAAGACGATGCGTTGGGGAAGGAGTGGGCGGAGGGCGGGGGCGAGGGGGGGGGTTCGGAGGCAGTGCGGCTGCGGGTGGAGTGGCGGGCGGTGAGGAAGGAGCGGCAGCTGGTGGAGGACGAGCGGCGCGAGGCGCAGCGTGTGAGGGACGAGGTGGAGCGCTTCACACAGTGGGCAGTGGGCGAGCAAAGGCGGCTGGACGAGGAGAAACGAAAGGTGAGGCGCGCTGTGACCACCATGTGGAGGCTGCTCTCCAGTATTCTCAAATTGGCGCGCAGTGAGAGATCAGCCTTATAACAGCTACTAGTCTGATTGTAGTATCTGTTAGAGTTAGTAGGAAAGCATATGCATATGTAGTAAGATTGGGCATGGGTGAGAATACTCCGCTGAAAATGACAACTTGACAAGCATATCCCTGAGCCCTTTCTCTTTTGTGGAGTCATTTTGCCTAGTTGGTAACCCCTCTCGTGCTCTTGTTTGCCACCCACCAGGCAGCGGCGGACCAGCGCCGCCTGTCCCCGTTTGAAGCGCAGCGCGCCGCGTTGGTGCAGCGCATGGCAGCGCAGGACGCCGCTACCACAGCTGTGCGAGCGCAAATCGCGGCAACGGGCGCCGCGGTTGCCGGCCTGTGCGCGCACACGCAGGCCCTCCAGCAGGCGCTGCACACCGCCTCCCTGCACCTCGCAGCCCGCCAGCACCAGCTGACGCAGGACCGCGCTGCCGTGCCTGGTGCCCTGGCTCGGGCTGCCGAGGCGGAGGAGTGGGCGCAAGCAGCGCAGAGTAGGTTCGGGGGGATGCCGAGGGAGGTGCGCAGCGCCAGTGGCGTGGCGGAGGTGGTGCAGGGCGCGGCGGGGCGCCATGGCCAGTCCGTGCAGCACATGCACGCCCCCGCCCGGCGCCTGGCGCGCGTGGTGCTGGCCGCCTGGAGAGGAGGAGGGGGGGAGGGGGGCGAGGTTGAGGAGGAGGATTGGTGGTTGGGTGGAATGGGGGGTTGTGCAGAGGGAGAAGGGGAGGGAGAGGAGAGGGGACAGGGAGGCATGCACGGCAGGGTGCATTGGGGTGGAGGGCAGCAGGTGGCGGGTGTGGCAAGGGAGGTGATGCGCGCTCTGCTGCTGGCGGCCCGCGCGGCGGGCAGCGACGCGAGTTGCGTGCTCTTCTGGTGGTCCAACACCGCCATGCTGCGCGAGGCGCTGGCAGCACTGCAGGGGGGGGGGCAGAGGGGGGAAGGAGGCGAGGGAGGGAAGGGGAGGGGGGGAAACGTAGGTGAAGGAGGGGAGAACGGGGCCAAAGGCCTGAGTGGTGGTGCTGCTGCTGATGATGATGATGATGGTGGTGGTGGTGGTGGTGGTGGTGGTGGTGGTGGTGGTGGTGGTGATGGAGAATGCTGTGATGGCACAGCGGATGGCACAGCAGATGGCAGCAGCGGGGACGACCCCTGGTGCAGCTTGCCCTACCTGCAGGCTCAACTGCTGAGGCTGGAGCAATGGCAGCATGATACGTGTCTTCACCTCGTGTGGACACGTGTCTTCCTGCCAGCCATGCAGCAGCGCCCTCCCGTGCTTCCCCCTGCCTTCCTACCTCCGTCTCAGCCGCCTCCCTTCACCCCCGCCTGGTCCTCCGCCTTCCACTGCTCCTCCCTCTCCTCCCACCAGCCCCTCTGGCCCTTCTCCGCCGCCACGCCCCCTCCTCCCCCTCTCAAAGGTAATTCACCCTCTTGTCGCACTCTCACTCTTGTGTCGATTTGCCCCGCCCCTATCACCCGCTCACCCTCTTGTATCACCCCCAAACCTTCCCCCCCCCCCCCCCTTCCTCCCACGCCCCCTCATTCCCTCCATGCAGCGGAAGAAGCGCAGGCGCCCTGGTGGGCTGGTTTGAGCGGTGCAGAGCGGTGGGTGGCGGTGCTGCATGATGCGGCTGCCATGCTGTGCCCGCACAGGGCCATGGGGCACCACTGCGGCTGCCTCTACCCACTTTTCAAGCAGGTAAATGCTGCCTCTACCCGCTCTTCAAGCAGGTGAGTGTTGCCTCTACCCGCTCTTCAAGCAGGTGAGTGCTGCCTCTACCCGCTCTTCAAGCAGGTGAGTGCTGCCTCTACCCACTCTTCAAGCAGGTGAGTGCTGCCTCTACCCGCTCTTCAAGCAGGTGAGTTCTGCCTCTACCCACTCTTCAAGCAGGTGAGTGCTGCATCTACCCACTCTTCAAGCAGGTGAGTGCTGCCTCTACCCGCTCTTCAAGCAGGTGAGTGCTGCCTCTACCCGCTCTTCAAGCAGGTGAGTGCTGCCTCTACCCGCTCTTCAAGCAGGTGAGTTCTGCCTCTACCCACTCTTCAAGCAGGTGAGTGCTGCATCTACCCACTCTTCAAGCAGGTGAGTGCTGCCTCTACCCGCTCTTCAAGCAGGTGAGTGCTGCCTCTACCCGCTCTTCAAGCAGGTGAGTGCTGCCTCTACCCGCTCTTCAAGCAGGTACCCTCGCACCTTTCGCTCTTCCTGTCATGGTGTCGGGCTTGTGTGCTCTTGTGTGCTCTTGTGTGCTGCACCATCCACACTCACCTCCTCGCCTTGCACCACATCCACAGCACCAATTCACCCCCTTTCCCCTGCCCCCCTTTCCCCTCACCCCCTTTCCCCTCACCCCCTTTCCCCTCCCCCCGTTTCCCCTCACCCCCTTTCCCCTCCCCCCGTTTCCCCTCACCCCCTTTCCCCTCCCCCCGTTTCCCCTCACCCCCTTTCCCCTCCCCCCGTTTCCCCTCACCCCCTTTCCCCTCCCCCCGTTTCCCCTCACCCCCTTTCCCCTCCCCCCGTTTCCCCTCACCCCCTTTCCCCTCCCCCCGTTTCCCCTCACCCCCTTTCTCCTCATCCCCTTTCACCTCACCCCGCCCCCCCTCAGCCCCTTTCCCTTCACCCCCTTTCTCCCCACCCCGACCCCCCTCACCCCCCTTCCCCCCCGGCCGCAGGTGCTGCAGCACGCCCTGCGCCGCCTGGACGCGGCGCTCTTCAACGCGCTGCTGCGCTCCGCCAACGACGTCCTCTCCACCGACCCTGCTGCCGACCCTCTCACCGAACCTAGCGCCCTGCCCTTCCCTGCCAATGGCCGCTTCCGGGCCTCCGACGGGGGGCTGCTGAAACACACTGTAAGGGAGATTGCTGAAACACTCTGTAAGGGGGATTGATGAAACACACTAGGGGATTGCTGAAACACACTGTAAGGGGGATTGCTGAAACACATTGTAAGGGGGATTGCTGAAACAGACTAATTGGGATTGCTGAAACACACTGTAAGGGGGATTGCTGAAACACACTGTAAGGGGGATTGTTGAAACACTCTGTAAGGGGGAATGCTGAAGCACACTGCAAGGTAGGCATGGGCAAGAATATTCGCATCGCATCGCGTTTAATCGCGTTTTTGCGATTGCAATAAAAAAAAAAGCATTTATATTTTTTTTATTCATCGCGCGATGCGGTGAATTGTTTATAGCGCATTTAAATCGCATTTAATTCAAATGCGATTTGCGATTTTTTTGAAGTTGCGCGCGATGTTCAAATACCACGAGGGCTCGTACCTGTGTGAAACCCACTATGAAACCACACTATTTATTTACACACTAGCTTACGGCTGCCCGTGCTTCAATTTCCCGGCGTTTTTTTTTTTTTTTTTTTTTTTTTTTGGGGGGGGGGGGGGGTTGATCTTCTTTCGGTCTTAGACCACGATGCGATTTAAAATCGCATTGCGCGATTTAATTAATAATCGCATGCGGTTTAAAACTACATCACGCGCTGAACGCGATGTGCGATTTTTTATTTTCAGAAATTAAATCGCACGATGCGATTTTGAATCGCATCGCTTTTAATTAAATCGCACCCCAGCGCTATGCGATTCAAATCGCAATCGCATGTTGCCCATGTCTACTGTAAGGGGGATTGCTGGAACACACTGTAAGGGGGATTGCTGAAACACACTGTAAGGTGAATTCTTGAAACACACTGTAAGGGGGATTGTTGAAACACTCTGTAAGGGGGAATACTGAAACACACTGTAAGGGGGATTGCTGATACACTCTGTAAGGGCGATTGCTGAAAAACACTGTAAGGGGGATTGTTGAAACACACTGTAAGGGGGTTTGCTGAAACACAATGTAAGGGGGATTGCTGAAAAACACTGTAAGGGGGAATGCTGAAACACACTGTAAGGGGGATTGCTGAAAACACTGTTAGGGAGAATGCTGAAACACACTGTAAGGGGGATTGCTGAAACACTCTGCAAGGGCGATTGCTGAAGCATGCTGTAAGGGGGTTTGCTGAAACCCACTGTAAGGGGGATGGTGTGTGAAAGAGTACCCGTGGGACGTGTGCAAGCGTAGGAGGGGGGCGAAGGAGATGGTTTGGTGTTCTTCGCTTTGTCTTTCCCATTTCGTGCCGCGCCTCTGCCTGCATGCGTATGGCCTCCCTTTTCCAAACCCATTCCACTAGCCAATGCACGTGTAGCCTCAATGCCTCCCTGTCCTTTTGTCTCCCTGCGATCCCTCTCTGTCCTCTCTCCCCGCGCCAGCTATCTGAGTGGAATGACTTCCTTGCAGACATGGACACGCATGTCGACTCGCACTGCCGTGCTGCTGCCCATGCCCAAGCCCCCACCAGCCACGCCCCGCTGTCCATCCACCCCCCGCCCACAGTCCCCGCCTCCCTGCTGTCCTCTGCACGCTTCTGGGCCGGCCAGCTGGAGCTCTTTGATTGGCCAGAGGGTGTGGACAGCCAGAGGGACGCTGGGAAGCGGGATGGGAGAAGGGGAGTGGTGGGACAGGGCGAGAGGCGCAAAGCAGCTGCAGGCGGTGAGGCCATGGGAGGGGCAACGGCGCTTCCTGCTGCTTGGGACGGACACACGGCTCACACGCATGACCCTGCTGCGCTGCTGCTGCTGGGAGGGCGGGTGAGGGCAGGCGAGGGCGGCAGAGGGTGGTTGCAGCAGCTGATAGGAGCGCGCGCGGACTGCTTCCCGCTGCTCAGGGAGCTGGCGCACGTGCTGCTGCTGCCCAAACAGGCCCTCTGCGACCGAGCCGTGCGCCGCCAGGTGAGAGGGGGGCGAGGGGAGGGGTGAGGGGGGTAAGAGGGGGTGAGAAGGGTTAGACGTGTGGGAGGGGGGAGAGGGGTGGGAGGGGGAAGCGTGCTTGAGAGGGGGTGAGAGTGGTGAGTGGGGTTAGAGGGGGGAGAGGGGAGGGGTGAGACGGGGGGGAGAGGGGAGTGGTGACAGAGGGGGGAGAGGGGGGAGAGGGGAGAGTGGGGAGAGGCATGAGAGGGGAGAGAGGGGAGGGGTGATTGTGAAGGAACTAGCTTTTGAGGAGAAAAGATTGAATCGAGTAAGGAGTCAGGAGGCTCTATTGTACAAAACAAGGAGCAAGGAAGAGTTGGAAGGGAAGCTCTCCTGTTGGCCATAAAGTGGACCAATGCGAGAGGTTGCTTGTAGGGCAAGCAACCACAAAGTGTGGTGCTCTCCGATTGGCCACAATGTGGTCCAATGGGAGAGGTTGCTTGGAAGGCAAGCAACCACAAAGTGTGGTGCTTGGTGATAGGTTGGTTCTTAGGACCAAGGACCATTTGGTTGGAATTGTGCCAACCAAATGTTTAGGACCAAATCCAATCTTCACCAACCCAAATGTGGGGTTGGTCAACCCAACCAACAACCCCCTAATAATTATTATGAGTACACCTCCTAATCTAGGCATGTATGCTGTATAGATATATATTTTACAACACAACCCCCCAAGATGCATAAGACTAGATGTCTTGAATCAAGAGGCGGACGAGGGAACGGGGGGAGCGAGGCCAAGAAGGCGAAGGAGGGATGAGTGGACGGTGTGGGGGAGGGCTTTGGTAAAGATGTCGGCAAGATTGGCGGCAGAGTCAATCTTGCACAGCTGGAGGTGGCCACCCTGCACAAACTCGCGAATGAAGTAGTGGCGAAGCTCAACGTGCTTGGAGCGCCCGTGGAACACAGCATCCTTCGTGAGGTGGATGGTGCTGGTGTTGTCGCACCAGATGATGGGACAGCGCTGAGGGGCCCCCAAGCTCCTCAAGAAGGAATGTGAGCCAGCGAGCCTCCTGCGCAGCCATGGTAGCGGCATACAGCTCTGCTTTGCAGGAGGAGAGGGCAATGGAGGAAGAGCGGGTGGAGCGCTAGCTGATGAGGCCGCTGCCTAGGGAGAAGCCATAGCCCTAAGAGGAGCGGCGATCAGGCCTAGAGTCAGCCCAGGAGGAATCAGAGTGGCCAGTGAGGAGGGGAGGGGAGGGGCCGCCAAGGGTAAGGACGCAGTCCTTGGTCCCCCGAAGGTAGCGGAGGACACGCTTGGCCGCTTGCCAGTGGGCGGCATCATGCTTGCCGGTACCAACGAAGCGGGCCAATATGCTGATGGGGTGTGCCAGGTCAGGGCGGGTGGAGACCATGGCATAGATGAGAGAGCCGATGAGCTCAGCGTAGGGCTGGGAGGAGGAGGGGGAGGTGAGGGGAGTGAGGTGGTGCCCAATAGGAAGAGGGGTGACCTGAGAGGTGCCTCGAGCCATGTCGAACCGCTCCAGGACCTGCTGCAGGTAGTGGCCCTGGGAGAGGGAGATGGTGCGAGCAGCACGGTCGCGTGTAATCTCCATGTTGAGATAGTGTTGCAGCTCCCCAATATCTTTACACTTGAGCCGGCTGCCAAGCTCACGCTTGACGCGCTCGAGCTCGGCGGAGTCAGCAGTGATGAGGATCATATCTTCGACATATACGAGGATGTAGAAGGGGGAGGGGGAGGTGCGGAGGAAGAGGCCGGGTTTGGCGCGAGAGGTGCTGAAGCCCAGCTTGGCGAGGGTGGCAGCAAGCTTGGCATGCCACTCCCTTGGTGCTTGCTTGAGCCCGTAGACTGGCCGACGCAGCTGCCAGATAGAGTCGGAAGGAAAGGGGAGGTGGAAGCCTGCAGGACGCTCCATGTAAATGAGCTCGCGCAAGACGCCCTGGAGGAATGCGTTGGAGACGTCCATGGAGTGAATCTCCATGTTGAGGCGAGCGGCGAGGTCAAGCACTGCGCGGAAGGTAGCGGGCTTGGAGGTGGGAGAGAAGGTGTCGAAGAAGTCGACGGTGAAGCCCTTGGCGACGTAGCAGGTCTTGTAGACCGGCAGCTCGCCAGGCAGCTGCTTCACCCGAAACACCCACTTCCTTTTTACCACGTTCGTGGTGGAGGGAGGGCGGAGCACATCCACAAAGGAGGAGTCGGCAATAAACGCCTCCAATTCCTTCAGGATGGCCGCGAGCCAGAGGTGGACGTCAGAGCACGCCATGGCCTCCTCGTACGTGGCGGGGACGAAGATGGTGGGGGCGGAGGAGAAGGCGAAGACTGGTGTGCTGCTGAGGTCAGGGGAGATGGGTAGAAGGACTGGATCATGCAGGTGGAGGTTGAGGAACTCCTCATGGGAGTCCTCGAGGAGGGAGGATTGGAAAATGAACAGGAGGACTGCTGCTGTTGGTGCTGCTGCTGTGGAGGATGCCTCTGCTGTTGCTGCTGCTGAGGCGGCTGCTACTACTGCATCTGCTGCTGCCGCTGTTGTTGCTGCGGGTGAAGGTGAGGAAGGAGCGACAGCTGCTGCTGCTGGTGCTGCTGCGGTGGGTAGGTCTGCTACTGCTGCTGCTGCTGCTGCTGCTGGGACTGCTGTAATGGAGCTCGACGGCAGGGTTGGGCTAGTGTTTTGTTGTAAGACAGCCTGAAAGAGGAGGTCCATGAGAGGGGAGAGAGGAGGCAAGGTAGAGGAAGAGAGGGTAACAGGAGGCGGGGCACCTAGGACTGTGTCACGTGACCTGATGTGGGGATACCGGGTGAGGATGGAGCGGGTGGGGCGCAGGGGGGGAGGGGGACGCGGGGGAGAGGGGGGAGGAGGGGAGGGGGGAGGATGGGAGGGAGCGGAAGGGGAGGAGTGCGATGGGGAGGCGGGGGGAAAGAGAGGGTCAGGGTCAAATATGTCACCAGAGGAGGGGGGAGCGCTTGGGACCGAGGCAGCGGGGAGTGACGGAGGTGGAGCGGGGGGGAGGATGGGAGGGGGAGGGAGAAGAGGGGATGGGATAGTGTCGGACCAAGTGAGGGGCTGGGGAGAAGGGGCAAGAGGGTCAGTGGGGGGAGGAGTGGAATAGTAGGGTGTGGACTCATCAAAGACCACATCCCGACTGTGGAGGAAGCGACCTGAGGGGGGGTGAAGGAAGAGGTAGTCCGGGGAGGAGGGGTTATGACCAAGGAAGATGCAGGGGAGGGTACGGGAGGCGAGCTTTCCCATGGTGCGGGGGCGGTCCGCAGGGTGAATGAGGACATACGCCCTGGAGCCCCACACACGGAGGGAGGAGACGTCAGGCTTGGCCGACGTCCAGAGCTCGGTGGGAGTGGTGGAGGGAAGGATGGGATGGGGGTACAGGTTAGTAAGGAGGGTGGCGTGAAGGAGGGTTAGAAGGAGGGAGAGGAGGGGGAGGGATGTGAGGGGGGGGAGAGAGCAAAGAGGGGGGAAAGGGGTGAAAGGGGGGAGAGGGGTAGAGGGGTAGAGGGGTAGAGGGGTGTGGGGCGAGGCGTGTGAAGGGAGTGAGAGCTGTTAGAAAGTGAGGTGGGCGAGGGGATCGAGGTGGGCTGGGCTGGGGGGGTGAGAGGGTGAGGGGAGGGAGTGAGCAGACAGGAAGAGTGCGAAGAAAGGGGGTGTAGGCGCGGCAAGGGTTCAAAGCAGTTGAAGGGATAGGATCTGTTACGATGTGATGGCTTGGTTGGTACGATGTGATGGCTTGGTATTATGTGATGGCTTGGTGCGATGTGATGGCTTGGTGCAATGTGATGGCTTGGTGCGATGTGATGGCTTGGTGCAATGTGATGGCTAGGTGCGATGTGGTGGCTTGGTGCGATGTGGTGGCTTGGTGCGATGTGATGGCTTGATAGGAGGTGGCATCATGGCACCGTTTTGCACACGGCACGGTTGACCACTCACAAGGAACGGTTGACCGCTCACACGGCATGGTTGATCGCTCACGTGCCAAGTAGCCACTGTGCTTGTCCGGGTTGTCTGCCTGCACGTGATCCTGTTGCCCCCATGCCCGGCAGCTGCACGCCACCATCACCCCGCCTCTCCTGCAGCGCATTGTGCGCATGTGCGTGGAGGACCCCGCCCACCCTGACCACGTCCCTCCCGTGCTCCTCGACATGCTGCACGCTGAGGTGCGTGCCATGCTGCACGCTGAGGTGCGTGCCATGCTGCACGCTGAGGTGCGTGCCATGCTGCACGCTGAGGTGCGTGCCATGCTGCTCGCTGAGGTGCGTGCCATGCTGCACGCTGAGGTGCATGCCATGCTGCACGCTGAGGTGCGTGCCATGCTGCACGCTGAGGTGCGTGCCATGCTGCCATGCCCTGCTGCCATGCATGTTACATCTTTACTCATGCCCACATCCCCAAGCATACACGCCCAATGCTCATCCTCACACCATCAAGCTCATCTCTCCCCCACCCTCTGCTCCTGCTATTCCTCTTTCACCCCCCACCTCCCCAGGCCGCCACCGCCCCTCTTTCCACCTACTTCCTCCCGGTCTTCGACCCTGCACCCCTCCCCCCCACGCCCTACTGCCCCCCGCCCTCCCTGCCTCTGCGCGCGCTGCTTGGGGACGCTGCCTCGCCGGGGGGCATGGAGGATGGCACAGAGAGGGGGGGAGGGGGTTGGGGAGGGGCGGCACGGAGAGGTGGTGCACGCCGCGGTGCTGGTGCAGGCGAGGGGTGTGGGGCCGTGGAGCAGCCAGGGGATTCGGGTTGAGCAAGTGAGTCCATGCGTGGGAATGAGCGTGTGCAGATGAGGGAGTGGGGTTATGCATGGGGAGTGTGTCATTTCAAGCAAGGGAGTTGTCGCGGCAGCAGCCTTCAGCGCTGTAGAGAGGCCATGCGGGGGACGAGGAGGTGCAGAGAGGCCATGCGGGGGACGAGGAGGTGCAGAGCGGCCATGCGGGGGACGAGGAGGTGCAGAGAGGCCATGCGGGGGACGAGGAGGTGCAGAGCGGCCATGCGGGGGACGAGGAGGTGCAGAGTGGCCATGCGGGGGACGAGGAGGTGCAGCTTCCGCACTTGCCCCTGTGCATCATGCTGCACCCGTGGCTGCTGCACCCGTGGCTGCTGCACCCGTGGCTGCTGCACCCGTGGCTGCTGCACCCGTGGCTGCTGCACCCGTGGCTGTTGCACCCGTGGCTGCTGCACCCGTGGCTGCTGCACCCATGGCTGCTGCGCCAGTGGCTGCTGCTGGCTGTGCATGCACTGACTGACTGACCGACTGACTGACTGACTGACCGGGGGCCATACAGGCGCCATGGGGGAGCAGCACGACTGTGGTGCTAACGAGGTATGCTGTTGTGTCGGGGAGATGAAATACGGTACAAGGAAGATGCCAAATAATGGATGCGAGCAGACTAGAGTGTGTGACACCACGGTACATGTACTCTATTCAGACTTTTTACGTGTACATGTACTCTATTCAGACGGGGTGTACTCTAGTTGGAAAGATTTTTTTTTGTACTTGACTCTGTTTTTTCAGAGAAGATCTATGTACTACACTGATTTTTCAGATTTTTTCTATTAGTGCACTCTGATGCCTCAACTCTGTATGGGGGGATTGTTAAAATTATATAAGTTATAATTTATATAGGCTTGGTAGGTTGTTACTGAACATTTTCTGTAGAGGGTACAAACCCCTCCTTGTACTCCTCTCTCTTCCTAATCCAACTCTCTTTTCCTCTCCTCAACTTTCCTAGCACCTAAAACCTCTCGCCATTCTCATGGCTCCTCCTAGCTCCTAGCTAAACCTTGTGCCATTCTATGGCTTCCTAGCTAAGCTAGTCTTTTGACAGGGATGACTCTGATTCGTGTAATGCCGGAGGAGCGTGATTTACGCGTGAGGGACGCTGATTGGCCCTTAGCCAAAATCAGGGCGCGATGCTTGCGGGGGGCTTTGCGAGGGCAGTTACTGGCCCTTCACCAAAATCTAAGGCCAGTGCATAATGGGGGCTGTGTGAGGGAGCTGACTGGCCCTCCCACTTTGTGCTGGGTGCGGTGTGAGGGGCCGATTGGCCCTTGAAAAAAATCACCGATGTTTGCTGCGGGCTGTGTGTGCGAGGCCGCCCATTGGCCCTTCACGAAATAGCCGCCTGGATGGCGCAATTTCCCTCCCTCCCCTGCAATTTTACTTTGCCCGCCCCCCAATTCCTTTCCGCCCGCCCCATTAGCTCTGGCGCGGGGCCGGGTCTAGGGTGATGCGACATTCTGTGTTGTCGCCAGCACACAGATAGCAAGAGCATGTAAGAAGAGAAAGCCCCTGGATTAAGAAAGGGAAGGAGAAAGTAGACATACAGAACACCAGTTTAATAATCAACGTAAAAACTAATGATAACTCAGAATAATCAGACAAAAAATCTCTTGTTACTATGATTTTTAAGACTTTTTTTTAGGGGCGACTCTGATGGCCATACCAAGGGATGACAAGCAAGTCTGATGAATAAGACACCCCCAAAACAAATTTGGGGGCCTGGTTCACTTCATCCATTTCCATTTTGTCGACAAATTTATTCATATAGATTTGCTGGGTCATATTTGTTTATAGCTAGTTTAGTTCTTAGCGAGTACAGCCCTAGTTTTGTACCGTATTCTCTCTGATACAGTACCCTAGGGAGCTAATAAAATTTCATGAAAATTTTGGGGAGGATGGAATTACAGGCAAAAAATATATAACACGATGGTTCTATGGAACGTGCATATGGGTTTTCCAATTGCAAAATGTTTATGCTTGTTACACTACTTTGTACTGAGTCAGAGTTCAACAATCCGCGACCTCATCGCGTACCTGACGATGTGGTCCATCTGCAAGCCACGTCGTCAGCTAAACCAGCAGTCACGGACAATGTTGGCAATTTAGCCAATGAACGCGTGCCGCAGGCCTCACCCTAGCTGCTTCCATGCAGTGCTGTGCCAACACATCGTTGCTTGACGACATCCAAAGGGAGACTCCATTCAGGACCCATCCACGACCGTCCATCGCACGAAGTCGTATGCTGGACGCTCGTGACGGGGTTGTTCGAAGTCGATAGGGACGAGGGAGTCGCGCACGTCCCTTCCTTCCCCTCCATCCCGTTGTTGAAGTGGTTCTACCCGACCTTTTTGCCTCATTTCACCATTCAGCAGCAGAATGCCTACAAGACAGCCCCTGCAAGGGCTGTCTTAGGCATCCCACTCAGTTTCTGTAGGACACTCCCGCCATGGCGTTTGGCACAGGCATGTTGCGTTTACTATCTCTGAGAGGCCCTTACGGTCAGCAGACATTCTTCCACCGTCCATCTCGCCCGACTGTATCGTCGCCCTCTCGGAGCCCAAGTCGCACGTCTGGCGAGGGCGACAACACCGCCACAGACTCAGTGACCGACGCAATGGAGGGTCGGCGTCCTCTGCCCCGTATCACAGTGCCGAGCTTCCCCGCGCCTGTCTGCGTCCAAATGGCATGACTATCAACCATGACGCGAACCCCCCCTCTCCTCGAAGCAGGATGACGAAGCGGAAACGCCGCTCGTACATCGCTTCGGAGAAATTGTATTGGTTAGGAACGTTTGAGTCTCAGCCTGACCTCTCCATCCGTGCGTTGGCCAAGCTCGTAGGTGTGCAGCTTGTTATGATTCGGGAATGGAAGAAGGCACGGGAGAGACTCCGTGCCGCTGCAAGCTGTCGAAAGCGGCTCGTTGGCGCGGGTCGTCCGGTGAAGTTTTCGACGATGGAAGCGGCTCTCTACCGTCAGTTTATGCGGCATCGAGGGAAGGGCCTGGCCATCTCCGTGAAGCTCCTGCAGAAGTGGAGTCGCTCGTACATGAGGGCACGCCATCCTGATGTCGACTGGCGCGCGTCCGCCTGCTGGACCTTCAGTTTCCGCATGCAATTTGGGCTGACACGACGTGTGAAGACGAAGATGGGGCAGAAGCTCGCCGGTGGTAAGCTTCCTTTCTCATCTCGCCAGTCCTGCCGTGTAGTGCATGTTTGTTTTACGGGAATTCCCGACTAATTCTCTATCTCTGTTTCTGTCCAATGCAGACATGCGGGAGAAAATCCACAAGTTATGGGAATTCGTCAGCAAATGCGACTGCTCAACGGCTACAATCTCGACCTCATCGTCATCGCGGACCAGACTACGCTTTTCATCGAGATGCCGTAGGAAAGGACCTTGGAGCACAAAGGTTCGCGGACAGTCCACGTGAGGACCGCCGGGTACGAGAAAATTGCGCTTGACCGTCATGCTGGTGGTCACAACCTCAGGAATGAAACTCCCGCCATATGTCATCTTCAACGGAAGACCCTTCCGAAGATTCAGGTTCCCCCGGGTAAGGATTTTGAACTCTGGCTGCTTCCTTGGTTCCTCCACACCGTCGTCTGTTGACTGACTCTCAGCCTGTGGTGTTTGGGTGCATGCAGATGTCATCATCTGAGCCCAGCATAAGGGCTGGATGGACGACAAGCTAGTCCAAGACAGGACTACTCAAGTCCTGAACCCCTTCCTTCGGCCGCTGCTCGAAGCCGGCAATAGGCGCAAGGATGCACTTGTCATCCTCGACTCCTACAAGGGGCACCTCATAGAGGCGGTCGGACAAACGATGAAGCTCTGCAAGCTAACGCGCGCAGTCATCCCTGGAGGCTGCACGCCTCTCGTGCAGCTGCTGGATGTCACAGTGAACAAGAGCTTCAAAGCTGTTGTGCGTAGCGACTACGGCACCTGGTTCGAGGAGTTCAGCATTGACCTCAAAACAGCAGCAGTTGAACCCGCGTCATGTTCCCGTTGCTTCGTTTAATGCTTCATGTACTAAACTGACCATTGTTAATGTTATTCATCGCTTTCTAAATGCTGACTTGTTGCCGTTGACCGTCACCGCTCCCTCTGCAGGAAATCTGAAAAAAAACCGAGCAGAGCTCATTCTCAAGTGGATTGCACGGTCATGGGCGGCAGTTCTGGAGGAGCTCATACGGAATTCGTTCAAGACCTGTGGGATCTTGAACGCGTTGGATGGCTCCGAGGACTGATTGGCCCTCCGACACCTCCGCGAGAAGCCGGGCGTGGAAGTCATGGACAGCGTCCAAGTTCAGGAGGGTGAGAGCGAGTACGTGAAACCCTCTGTATGACCGCACGATCGACGTCGACGAGGACTTGGCAGGCGACGAGGAGGATGATGCCGCGGTGGCAGCAGAAGCCAATGGCGACATGGATGAAGCGGCGGCAACAGCGGCACTAGCAGAGGATGCCGACCTCACTGCAGCAGAGGCAGAGACAGCAGCAGAAGCAGAACGAGATGAAGACAGTGTGGAGTGGCTGGCTGAAGGCATTGCTGAAGAGGATGATGATGGCCACTGGTGGGACGAGCTGGCGGATGGGAGTGATGTTGAGGAATGGCATGCTGGCGACGCTGAAGATGATGACGAGGACGACTAGAGCACGTGGAAGAGGCAGTAGCAGCACGAGTTAAAGTAGTGGTAGCTTGTACTGTGGTCCCCTGATAGAGCTCTAGGATATGCAAGCATGCTTAGGTTGTTTAGCTAACCTCTAATTCCTGATTGTTTAGTAAAAATTAACTGGAATGTAGTGCCCCGTTTCGGGGGAGGGTGTTCAATTGTTTTCAACCCCCAAAAGTAGGGTGGTAACTAGATCCAGTTTAATTCAACACCCATACCCGCTCAAGCCATCCATGGGAGCTTAATTACGGCGGGTACTGTATCCGGGAGAATACGGTATCCCTCGACATTTTCCCTTAGTCACACTACTCTCGATAACCTAAAATGGTATAGAGCTAGGTAGTTTTCCGCATCTCACGCTTCTGCTAGTGTAACGAACTGTTTTTTCACACCTCCCCCCTCTCCAATTTCGCGCTTCATAGATTTCTCCCCCCCCCTTCCTAGCGCTCACTCATTTCCTTACGTTAACCAGCCGGCCTGCTAGCCAGCTCGCTCCCTCCCTCGCTCGTTCGCTAGCCCGCCAGCTACCTCTCTAGCTCGCCTGCACCAACTACGCCAGCCTGCCGTTCCGCCAGTAGCCCGTTCTATCGCGCCTGCTGGTCGCCACCAGCCCCTGCTCGCCTCTCGCATTCCTTCCTAGCTAGCTCGCCACCAGCAGAGCCAACCAGCTCGCTGCCAGCAGAGCCAACTAGCTTGCCGCCAGCAGAGCCAACTAGCTCGCCACCAGCAAAGCCAACTAGCTCGCCGCCAGCAGAGCCAACTAGCTCGCCGCCAGCAGAGCCAACTAGCTCGCCGCCAGCCGAGCCAACTAGCTCGCCGCCAGCCGAGCCAACTAGCTCGCCGCCAGCCGAGCCAACTAGCTCGCCGCCAGCCGAGCCAACTAGCTCGCCGCCAGCCGAGCCAACTAGCTCGCCGCCAGCAGAGCCAACTAGCTCGTCGCCAGCAGAGCCAACTAGCTCGCCGCCAGCAGAGCCAGCGAGCTCACCGCCAGCAGCGCCAGCTAGCTCGCCGCCAGCAGAGCCAGCTTGCTGATAGCAGATCCAGCTTGCTGATAGCAGAGCCAGCTAGCTCACCACCAGCAGCGCCAGCTAGCTCGCCGCCAGCAGAGCCAGCTTGCCGTTAGCAG